TGGAAACCCGGGTACCGGAGCGATGGGACCCTTTCCTCTTCCATAGAGAGTTGGCTCGTGGAACCTTTATTCCAGTGATTGGCCCGTGGCGGAAGCAACTGTTCTGACTTCAAGATGCGGAAAGGCCCTCCCGCGGGCCGTATTCTAGGGCAGGCGTTTGCTTTTTGTCAGGCTTTGGTAAGAATGGAATATTAAGAAGCTTTAAGATTTTCTAACTTTATTTTCATAGACAGCTTGGGTAACATGTGGGCTAAGACTCTTTTCATGCTAATTTCATCTGAAAACAAAAATAGAAAAATATTACGTAAATCCAGACTGGTTTTTGTGACTGTCTCTGTATTGACTTTATTTAAAAATACGGACAGCATCTAACAGAATGTTAATAGGCAGGAGCATTGAACCAGTGCCATTTTGGCAGTTCCAACAAAGAAACCAAGTGGTAATTAAGTTTTCCCCTTTCTCGTGGAACAGTTACACAACAGTTCCATTTTTCTGCCAGTGAAGCAGCCTCGGGAGAATTGAAGCACAGCTGGAAGGTGCACTCCTGTGTCGTCCGTGGAAGCATTGCAGAACTTTCTAGTAATCCAGCATAAAGCCCCAAAATGGGACTTCTTCCTTCCTTTCCTCCTTCCCTCCCTCCTTCCTTCCTTTCTTCTTTCCTTCCTTCCTCCCTCCCTCCCTCTTTCCTCCCTTCTTCCCTCCCTTCCTCCCTTCCTCCCTTCCTTCCTTCCTTCCTTCCTTCCTTCCTTCCTTCCTTCCTTCCTTCCCCTCTCTCCCTCTCTCTGTCTCTCTCTTCTTTCTTTTTAAAAATTAAAGGAAAAGAGAGGAAAGGCTGTGATGCTTAACAGTTGTTACAAGGGAATGGTTTCCATATATGGATTAAGCAGTGCTAAAGAGAAAGCTATATCCTCGCGAGTGTTTGTTTTACTTAGGATTCTTGGCCACCATGGACTGCAACCCAGCTCAGACCGGCGTAGCCAAAAACGGGGGGTGGGAGGGGGTGGGTGTGTTTTTACAGATCCTGATGTGTCTCACAGAATCAAAGGGAAATGTTGCAGGAAGAGGCCCATGGGGATGGGGACCAGGTCCTTGAAGGCTGCCTGTGTCCCCAGTCTCAGTGTGCACGCCAGCTGTGCTTTCTCAGACATCTCCTCCAGGCGGAAGGTGGGCTCACCAGGAGCCCTGGGCTCGTATCCTTGTTCCTCCTGGCCAAGGAGAAAGGAGTCAAGAGTGTGCTGTCGCCCTCCCCGTCTTGGTTGCCCCCACGCCCTACAGACCACAGACAAGCCCCGAGAAGGGTTCAGACACGGGTAACCGGAGGGACGGATTTTGTGACTGGCAGCCCCCAGCAGGACTGTGTGAAGTTAGAGGAGGAGCAGTTTCCAGAAGGGGAGGCCGCTGTGGGGGAGGATGAGGCATTTTGGGCCTGCCACATTTAGCAAGAGGAAGGGAGACCTCGGGTCTGGAGGATCAACGAGATTGGGTTGTGTCTGGCCGGGTTCCTAAAACTTCAAAGAACAGATACTCCTGGGGGAATGTCAGGATGTTTTCAAAAGCCATACACACGTGCTTACACGCACACACACACACATACTTACATATTTTGTACGTGATATGTTAAAGGAAAAAAAACCGCAGGTCATAAAATAGCGTATATCAGGTTCTATTTCCGAAAAACATAACCCATCTGGCTCCCATATACGTGTACACATACTTCTATATCTATGTTTGAGTGAGAATGACGTGGGAAGATTCAGAGGCTGGTGGTGGTCTCAGGTAAGTCAAAGAGTTGGGAATGGGGGTCGGGGCCACAGGAAGAGAGGGTCAGCTTTGCTTTTGATGTATCACGTGTTGTATCGTTGCATTTGTTAAAAAATAATTTTTTTTTTTTTTTTGCATTTATTTATTTTTGAGACACGGAGAGAGCACAAGTGGGGAGGGGCGGAGAGAGAAGGAGACAGAATCCAAAGCAGGCTCCAGGCTCCGAGCTGTCAGCACAGAGCCCGACGCGGGGCTCGAACTCACAAACCGTGAGATCATGACCCGAGCCGAAGTAGGACGCTTAACCGACTGAGCCCCCCGGGCGCCCTGATTGTTTCATTTGTCAAAACAAGCTCGTATTACGGTTGTACTTTGGGAAACATCCCGTTAAGGAGGAAGAAAGGACCTGGTTCAGACTGAGCTCAGGAGGGGTGTGGACGGAGGCACCGAAGGTGGCGGTGGGGTCACCTCAGGCCAGAAATCCAGGGCTTCCCAGCGGGATGCCGCAAGACCAGCCTCTCCCAGAGCGATAGGAAGCTGAGGTGCCCGTAGGGCTACGTGTTCCCCGAGCCTGAATCTCTTCCAGAAAGCACACGCGAGTGGGTCAGACTCACCACCACCCCCAGGGTGGCCAGGTCCCCGAGGCGATGTGACCCTGCCGGGCGCAGCCAGAGGCAGGGCCCGGGTGGCTGCCTCCTCGTGGGCTACCCGGCGACTCCCCCGGCTTCGGCCCGCGTGGCAGGAACGATTGGGCTACTTTCAAGCGAAGCACCTGATACGAGCCATTGATTTTGCAGGAATGAATTTTCCTTTTATGGAAAAGCAGGCCAAATAGATGACTGGCCCTCTGAACCTCACGGTCTGTTCCGTTTGGTTAAGAACTTCTAGTGCCCGACACCAGCGTGCTGCAGACGGTTGTCACAAGCAGCCCACGCTCAGGAAGGCACAGGGCTGAGGACGTGGGTGAGGTCAAGGCGTCTCCCCGCCTGCTATCACAGCCACCCAGATAAATGTGGCCAAAGAGACGGGCTGAGGTCTTGACGGGGGAGCCAGTGGTGGGCAGTGTTGTGGGTGCTGAAGACCAGGTGGCAGGTGGCCGATGGCCAGCGCTGCCACGTATGGGGTGCCCGTACTGGGCACCGTGCTGGGTGTGCCCCTGACACGGCACGTCACGTCCACGATGCGAGGTGGCCGCTCTCAATCACGAGTGGAGTAAGTAAGGTGCCTCGGGTCCCACTGCCAGTGAACGGCAGGCTTGGGTTTGGGGCTGGCCCCCGCCGGCCACACAGTCTCCTGAAGAGCGAGCCTCTCCAGGCATTTCCCACTCACTAGCCAGAGGGGTTTGAGCGGCTCTGATTTGGGTTAGGTGCATGGTCTTTGTCTTTAGATGGGATGATTCCAGCAGACTCCTCAAATCCATTTAAAAAGTAATGTGCCCAGCAGAATGGGGACTCTAAGACAAGTGGCTCTACTCCCTGGAAGGGGCATGCCTGTTTTCTTCCCGCTTCCTGTTAAGTGGGGCTAGGGGGAGAACAGATCTGGCGGCTGGGAGGGGAGACGAGTCCAGTTTGGGACACTTCAAGTCATGGGTGTGCCTAAGGACCCGAGGCGGAGATGGTCATGGACGATACTCATGTGCACTTCAGAGAGTTCTCGTGCCAGACAGAAAGATGGAAGAAAGCTCCAGGGGCATGGTGGGAAACAAATAAGAGCTAAAACAAACAAACAAACAAACAAACAAACAAAAAACCCATACGTAAATAATATGATCCCGCTCTCTAAAAATTGGATATAAATTTGCCAAATTTAACTGGTTATGTATGGCCGTATGGGAGAGTTACAAGTGAGTTTTGTTTCCTCCTGAATATTTTTCTCTGCATACCCAGTTATTTGCGGTGAAAATGCATTACTCCAAATATCAGAGGGATACTTTTTTTTAACAAAAGAAAACCAGACCTGTTTCTCTCGTGGAAAATGTCCTGTTTTGATGCTCACTCCTGATGAGGTAGTGGCAGTAAATGCCTCCGAGTATTGGTCACTGTCCCGAGGAAATGTGTGTGAACAAAAGCTCAGGTCGTCTGTATGATTACAAGCGAGACTGTCCCTTGGTACCACAGTACGTGTGTCAGGCCCTGGTTCCTGCTCACAGCATGTAAGTCAGGTTGACGGAACTTGGTGTGGAAGCTGCGAGCTGAGCTATGTAACGGGTTGTCCATTTGCCGAAATGGATGCTTTACTGGCCCATCCTGGCCTAAGGTAGTTAATCACTCCTGGTGTGATCTAGGGAGGCTGCTCACTCTCGCTGGGCCACAGTTTCTTAAACTGTCAAAGTAAAGGGGGGCGGCGGTGGAGGACCTATCTCAGAAACCTTTTTGAGCTCTAAGATTTTAGGCCTCCCCGTTCTTCAGAGGATGGGAACATCTCACAGGAAGTGATTCAAAGTGGCTGCTGCGACTGAGGAACTGAATTTTTCATTTTAATTAATTTAAGTTTAAATTTATACAACGGCACGTGGCTAGTGGCTACCATACCGGACAGCACAGCTCCTTAAGTGGAAGATACTAATATGAGGGGGGCATTTTAAAGGCCTGTACATTTTTCAACGTTATTTATTTATTTATTTTTGGGACAGAGAGAAACAGAGCATGAACGGGGGAGGGGCAGAGAGAGAGGGAGACACAGCATCGGAAACAGGCTCCAGGCTCCGAGCCATCAGCCCAGAGCCTGACGCGGGGCTCGAACTCACGGACCGCGAGATCGTGACCTGGCTGAAGTCGGATGCTTAACCGACTGCGCCACCCAGGCACCCCTAAAGGCCTGTACATTTTTATATGTACATACTTTTGAAATCACAAGAAACTCTAATTTCGGGAAGGCAGCTTGGTTTCATTAGAGACAATACAGACCAGAAGAAGAAGGAAGTAAAGAGTAGTCACGAAAAATAGTCCACTCAGAGAAAATTGCTGTTGGCACCACAGCGTATAACCTTCTAAATCCTCTCCTCTGCATACCTCATAGTAGCCAACTGGCTTTCAAAAGCATCGTTTGGAATCATCCAGAAAGGGATATGTTAGTAGGAGAGAACGCCCATTTATTGCCCAGAAGACAATGCTGATAGAGGTTTTATTTATTTTTTATTTATTTATTTATTTATTTATTTATTTATTTATTTATTTATTTATTTTTTGATAGAGGTTTTAGCAATCTGCCATGACCGCTGTTTCTCTTCTGGGTGCTAGGTCATCAACCCCATGGGATGGGATGCGTTTGGACTGCCTGCCGAAAATGCAGCAATCGAGCGGAATCTACATCCAGAAAGTTGGACGCAAAGGTATGTATTTATAGGCGTATTCAAACACACACAGAAACCTTAAACATGTGTACTAATCTGGGTGTGAGAAACAGAGAGCCAAGCAAACAAAACATTGCAGTCTGCCAGGCGCTAAAGAGCGTCATGTATAGTGGCGTTTGGCTTTTAGCCTGCTGTAGTCTTTGCTGAGAAATGACAAAGAAGGTTTTGGGTATTCATTGATGTGTTCCGTCTGATGCTTTGTTGTTTGCAAAGTTATTCTTCCCCTGAGGATTTGCATTTGGAAGGCAAAAGAAGGAGAGGGTTGCGTTTGTTCAATGACTACAATGCTTCTCATCTTCTGGACCGTAGTGTGAGCTGTATCTGAGTCCCACATTGTAATTTTCTCTGAAAATTCTGTTAATTTTTGCCTTCGCCGTGCTAGAGCAAGAGGAACTTAGGCATTCAATGTAGAAATATATGGCCAATATATTTTGGGTATGGCTTTCTCCAAGGGGGGGACACACTCCCAATTCCACCTGTGCCTCAGGCTTCCACATATATGCGTACCAGCAGTGCCCATCCCTCGTACCAGAACCCAGTGGGATGTTCTGGGCTCACTCCATCAGCCCCTTTCACAAAGATCGGCGGCCCTTCCATACCCCATGCCTCTAGAGATGTAGAAGGGCAGTTCCAGGGCCTGTGTCCACTGTCTTTCACCTCCCTTCACTTTATCTTGCCCAACGCTACATTGTAAAAGCGTCCACTATACCTTTTTTTTTTCTCTTTTTTCTCCTAACCCCCAGTTCCCACTTTTTCCGTTATGGTTAATTCCAGATTAAATGGGAATGATGAAAGAAGGAAGAAAAGGTAATCAAATAGAGTGGATCAAATATGGCAACAAATTGACGTAAACTAGACCAATGATCGTTGAGTTATGATCCATGGGCCACATTTGGCCCTGCCTGATTTTATAAATAAAGCTTTATCGGAACACAGCCATACCCATTTGCTTACATATTGCCCGTGGCTGCTTTCATGATAGAGGGGCAGAGTTGAGTAGTTGTGACAGACCATATGGCTCACAAAGCTGAAAACATTTCCCATCTGCCCCTTTACAAAAGAAGTTTACCAACCTCTCCACTAGAAAATAGCAGTTAAGAAGATGGGGGTGCCTGGGTGGCTCAGTTGGTTAAGCATCTGACTCTTGATCTTGGCTCAGGTCATGATCTCTCAGTTCATGGGATTAAGCCCCACGTTGGGCTCTGTGCTGACAGCACAGGGCCTGCTTGGGATTCTCTCTCCCTCTCTCTCTGCCCCTCCCCCATGCATATTCTCTCTCTCTCTCTCTCTCTCTCTCTCTCTCTCTCTCTCTCTCCCTCTCCTTCTCTCTCTCAATAACTAAACTTGAAACAAAGAAAAGAAGATGGGCCCTGAATCAGGCCACCTCAGTGCAAATCCTATCTTTCCTTCTTGTTAGCCAATCATCTTGAGGAAATTACTTAGCGTCTTTGTGCCTCAGTTTCTCTCTCTGTAAAAGAGCAATAGCCATAGCCCCTACCTCATCGGAATGGGTGAAGATTAAGCGCTCTCTTAGTCAGTCGGCTGCTTTAACAAAAATACCATGGTCTGGGTGGCTTATACACAGCAGACGTTTATTTCTTGTAGTTGTGGAGGCTGGGAAGTCCAAGACCAAGGTGCCCGCAGATTTGGTGTCTGTGAGGACCCCCCTCCTGGTTCATAGATGGCTATCTTCTCTCTGTGTCCCCACACGACAGAAGGGGCAAAGAAGCTCTCTGGGGTCTCTTTCGTAAGGCACTGAGCCCACTCAGGGGGGCTCTGCCCACAAGACCCAATCACCGGCCAAAGGCCTCATCTCTAAATACCATCACCTTGGAGGTTAGGTTTCAACCTATGAACTTCGGGGGGACACCAACGTTGTCCATAGCAAGCACTTTCTGCAAAATGTCTAGAACAAAATAAAATAAGCTATTGCTGGCTAAGCAGAGATCACCTAGAGAAAAGAAAGACATATTACCTTATTTCCTATTATACGAAAGTTGATTAGTTCACTTCTTTCCTTCTATGCCAATTATTGGACAGTTTTTGATTTTAGCTTTTGACTGATAAGCACTAAACCAGGTTTCTTTTGGATTCCCACAATTTGTACACTAGGGGGTTTTCTCTTCAGTCGATTTTAAACTAATTTAAAGATTTTTTCTAATGTTTATTTATTTGGGGGGGGGGATGCAAAGAGAGAGGGGGACAGAGGATCCAAAGCGAGCTCTGTGCTGAGAGCAGAGAGGCCGACGCGGGGCTCGAACTCACAGACCGTGAAATCGTGACCTGAGTCGAAGTCGGATGCTTGACCGACTGAGCCACCCAGGTGCCCCCTGGAAACCTTTCGAATAACCTAGACTTCTGCTGCTTCCTTTCACATTCCCAAAGTGCAGTTTGTTTGTGGCTTTCCCCCTTCTGAAAACCTAACCCTCTTCCCTTTGTTTCACAGCAATATTAAACACATGAGGAAGCAGCTTGATCGGCTGGGCCTGTGCTTCAGCTGGGATAGGGTAAGTCCACCCTTTCTCCTGGGGGGGTTTTGTTTTAACGGAGGTCGTGGTTGCACAGGGGACGATGCACGCTTACTTCATGTTCCTCCTCTTTGGGTTGGGAGAGGGCAAGGGAGGGAGGGAAGATTAGCACCCCACAAGTAAAAAATAGTATTCCCAGAGGATAATCTGCCTGCAAACAAGTAATTTTCTGTGGGATTAAACTAAGCGAGTTAACTTCTTATTTAAGGCCACAGCCGGCTGGAATTTATGTGTGTCAAAAGCTTTACTCAAGGATCTCTCCTCTTCTCTGCAATAATTGAAAAAGACTATTGGAATCTATGTAAACATGATGAACTATCAACCCACTCGGGTTTTTTGAGGTGACTAGGTGTTAAGTTGATTAACCATTTATTTACCTTTGTTCCAAGTTTGAAATTGAGTCTCATAAGAAGCCATAACAATCTGTCACAAACAGCATTTTGGTGTAAAATACTTTCAAACTGTATATGAAACTGATGGAGAATTCTAGATGTGGGAGGAGTTCATGAAGACCACCTGGATGTTAGGAACACCAGCTCTTAGTTAGGAACACCCAGGTCACTGGGAACTGAGGCCTTCAACCCTTTGGCCAAACGCCCACCCCTTAGACACGGATGGTCTATTAGGTAAGAGAGATTCCTGCCTGCCCCTTCACTAGGGACCCTTCCAGTGTCACCGTCCCTCTTAGCATCTGTTTGCTCCACAAAATGACTGAGGTTTGCATTTGCTGAGCCTGTCAAGTTCAAGTTCACACCCTCCTCTTCATGAGAAGTGCCTGGAACAAACCTGAACGCGATCTTTCCCTTCTCCTTCAACAATTTCTTAAATAATTGAGATTCAGTGAGTACAGTGAAAAAAAGCAAAAGTCGAACACATTCGAACAGTCCTTTTTAAATTTTTTATTTAATTTTTAATTTTTGTTAGCTTTAGATAAGGTGATGAGCCGAATCAAGTTCTAATGAGTCCTGCCCAGAGCTCTCCAGAGATGAGATTCTAGATTCCTTGAGGGCAGAGATGTTAATCCTCTAGTCCTGCACAGGGACATCAGCCATAAAGGGTTCAGGATAGTGGATTGTTTTCCTGATTATCGTAGAAGATTAGAAAATACAGAAAAGTAAAAAAAAGAAAAAAAAGAAAAAAGAAAATACAGAAAAGTCTAAAGAAGGACATAGAGTCAGTGCGGCTGATTTAACATCCTGGTATGGTTCCTGCATCTTTTATTCTAGAATTATAAACATCTATGTCGTTTACTTTTGCAAAGTGGAATTCATGATGCATATTTTTATTTTGCCTTTTTTTTAACCTACTATTCATGAACATCTTCCCATTTTATGAAATATTCTTCGAAAAAGTGACTTTTTATAAATGGTATGGTTTCCCGTCTTACAGCTATATAACTTATGCAACCTGTCTCTTATTATCATAACATTTAGATAGATTTTAATGTTTTTCTATCATAAATATGGGTTCTCAATCCCTTTTGTCACATCTGAAGTCCAGAAAGCTCTAAAAACTGAAAATTTTTTAACTCATTTGATTGCAAAACGTGACCCGAACTGGTGTTTATCTCACTTAGAATGAATATCCCTATGTTTTCCTGTAGAAATAGCAATATAGTTGATTACCAGGTACTCTCCTAGACCTTTTTTTTTTTTTTGATATCCCAAAAAGCCTTAATTCTGAGACATGTTTGACTGTGAGCATTTCAGATAAGGGATTTTGAACCAATCGTTCAGTGTTACAGATAAATACACCCCACCACTACCACTGTCTGATGGGCACCTACCATGGGCCAGGCACCCATAATTATCTCTTTGGGTTCCTGAAAAGCTCTAAAATGCAGATACTTTTATTGACATCATTTTGTTCTGGCCACTCAAGTGGCAGGGCTTGGCCAGTCCACTGACCCAATTTGACTGTTGTGTTCACCCCCTACTCCTGGGGCAGAAATCTTGGTACACACATTTTATTATTTCTTTAATGTGAATTCTCAAAAAAAAAAAAAAAAAAAAAAAAAGAAAAGCATGGATAAGTTTTAAGACATATAGGTATTTAAACGGAAGCTTAAAAGGTGTAATTTGGCTTGTGGTATTTGAAGGTTTGAAGACCATACAAATTTATACTCTCAAGTTACTACATAGATGTTTTCATCTGTATTTCTTTCATTATTAATGATAGGGAGTTATGGTTTTTTGGGTTGTTTTTTTTTTTCCATGTGTTTAATGGATGTTTGAATTTGTGTGTGTGTGTGTGTGTGTGTGTGTGTGTGTGTGTGTGTGTGAATGATATGATCGTGTCTTTTGCCCACACAGGTAAGGAGTGTTTGTTCTTTTCGTAATGATTTTTATTTTGTTACAGATATTTTTCCTCATTTGCCATTTGCCTTGCATTTTGTTTATAGTGAGATCATTATTAGCATACAGATATGTCCTTGGAAAGAACTTCTTTGAGATAGATGAATACATTAATATTTTCTTCTTAGTCATTTATGGTTTAAGTTTTACATTGAACTCAGCTGTAATTATGTTAGTATAGGATATAAGATAAGGAATGAATATTTTTTTTCTAAATAACCAACAATTGCTTCTATTTTATTTCTAAACAGTCCTTTTCTCATTAATTTAAAAGGCTACCTTTAGGGGCTCCTGGGTGGCTCAGTTGGTGAAGCATCCGACTTCGGCTCAGGTCGGGATCTCACAGTTTGTGGGTTTAAGCCCTGTGTCAGGCTCTGTGCTGACAGCTCCGAGGCCAGAGCCTGCTTCAGAGTCTGTGTCTCCCTCTCTCTGCCCCTCCCCTGCTCATACTCTGTCTCTCTGGCTCTCTCTCTCAAAAATAAATAAAAAAAAAATTAAAAGACATTAAAAAAATAAAAAGCTACCTTTAGGGGCACCTGGGCGACTCAGTAGGTTGAGCCTCCGACTCTTGATTTCAGCTCAGGTCATGATCCCAGGGTTGTGGGATCGAGCCCTGCCTCAGGCTCTGTCCTGAGCTTAGAGCCTGCTTGAGACTCCCTCTTTCCCTCTCCTTGGCTCGTATTGTCTTTCCCTCTCTCAAACAAAGGCTACCGTTATCATAACTTAGTTCTTTATTTTTTATTATTTTTTTTAACGTTTATTTCTTTTTGAGGGAAAGAGACAACACGAGCAAGAGAGGGCCAGAGAGAGAGGGAGACAGAATCGAAATCAGAGCCTGACGCGGGGCTTGAACTCATGAGTGGTGGGATCATGACCTGAACTGGAGTCCGATGCCCAACCGACTAAGCCACCCAGAAACCCCTTATAACTTAGTTCTTTTATACTGTCATAATACTTAAGTCTGTTTCTGTTCTTTTGACTCATTTATGATATTTATTACTCAACTGTTTTTAAGTACAGTTGCTTTACGATTGGTTTTAATACTTGGTGGCAGAGGTTTCCTCGTAACAGTGCTATCTATACTGTCTTGTGTTTGTTTCTTTGATATGTTTTTTCCTTTTGTATTTTATTATTTTGTTTACTTTTAGCCCTTATTTGTTGAATTCTTTTGGTACATCCCTTGTAGATGCCGTTCAAACATAGTTTTAAGTGTCTTTTTTTTTTTTTTTTTATGGTGTCCTACAGTCTGGATTTTGTTTCCTTTTTTTCCTCTAGAGATTTTTTAAAAATACGAATTCTTTTTTTTTTTTATTCTGCCAGAAGGTAGCTTTAAGTTTTTATTATTTTATTTTTTAGAGAGAGTGAATGTGTGGGCACACTAGCAGAGGAGGGGGAGAGGGAGAGGGAGAGAGAGAATCTTAAGCAGACTCCATGCTCATTGCAGAGCCCAATGTTGGGCTTGATCCTAGGACCCTGGGATCATAGCCTGAGCCCAAATCAAGGGTCAGACGCCATTTTTTTCTTTTTTTCAGTTTTTAATGTTTACTTTTGAGAGAGAGTTCGAGCAGGGGAGGGGGCAGAGAGAGAGGGAGACAGAGGGTCTGAAGCTGGCCCCGTGCTGACAGCAGAGAACCCAACCCAGAGCTTGCCGTCACAAACCGTGAGATCGTGACCTGAGCCGAAATCAAGAGTCAGGTGCTTAACAGACTGAGCTACCCAGAGGCCCCTAAGTTGTTTTTGCTTTTGTTTTTTTTATGTTTAGTATCAACATAAAAAATAAAACGCTAAGGAACTTAGCAGGCAGTGACACTTCCTACTTCCTAAAACCTATTTTTCAGAGGGTTTTTTTTTTTTTGATATGAGATTTTAGGCCTAATTTATTCTTATATATTTTGTGATCATATATTATTATTATTATTACTTTTTTTAGTTTATTTAGTTTGAGAGAGAGAGAGTAGGACAAGGGCAGAGATAGAGGGAGAGAGAGAGAATCCCAAGCAGGCTCTGCACTGTCAGCACAGAGCCTGATGTGGGGCTCGGACTCACAAACCTCAAGAACATGACCTGAGCCCAAGTCAGACGCTTCACTGACCGAGCCACCCCGGCACCCTGATCGTGGATTATTTCTTAAACTTTATGTTTGATATTTGCTTCTAATTTCAGGATCACATTTATAATCATTATTCAAATTGAATTATTCAAATTTAACGGGTTTTAGTCCCTATCAGTAGCCCTTTCAGAGCATGTCTGCCCATTTGTAAAATTTGGATTTGGAAATTGTGGAAAATTCTGACTGGTGCTTTTTCTGACCTCATACATTGTCTTCGTAACTTGAGAATGACTTTCCTTTTCTTTCATCTGGGAACAGCAATTTATTGGGGTATGGAATTTTTTTTTTTCTTTCAAATTTCTGTAGTAGACCTTGATGCCGGATGTACTATCTTTTTTTTTTTTTTTTTAAATGATTATACACTTACAGGAAGTTCCCATGATAGTACAAAGAGAGCCTACGTACCGTTCACCCAGCTTCCCCCTGTGATAACATTTGGTAGGACTACGATAGAATATCAAAACCAGGGAACTGAAACTGGCATGAAACTTGTAACCAGAGTACGAATCGTACTC